GTTGGTAGGCTCGCAGCCGTTTCGTTTCCGATCACACATACCGAGGAGCTATCCCCCAAGCACTTCTATTCGATCAGAGGATCTGAAAGCAGACATGCCAACGCTGCCCCCATTTCATTTTTAGCGTCCTCAGACTGCACTTCCTTACTTTGTTCAGCCTCAACCGATAGGTTTGCCTCCCCTTCGACGTTGTCATTCTCAGGTAGCTGCAGGTCAAAGAAGATCTCGAAACCTGGCACGCGTTTCTTCTCCGCGTTCAGCTATGGCTCTGGGAAGCCACAAAACGGAAAGTCCTCCCCCTCCCAGACGAAGCGTCCGTTTAGGGTACCCCGAATGGGCCTATGCATTAACTCGAAAGGCTTCCCATCCTTTTTTGCTCTGGCTCTTCCGGCCATTTCCTTTCCTTTCCTTATCCAGTCCTCTTTGGTGGGTAGATAACCCAATCCAAAGGTATGAGGGTTGTGTGGCACTTCGGCCAATACAGCTCTTGCCCAATCCCATCCCGGGGATATGTTGGAGCTTGTTCATGAGATAGACTGCCTGAGCACTGACATATATCCCTTCACTAGCAGCCATAATGTCCTGTACAACCCGAGCCTCAGCCAAGGTAAAACCCGATATGAACACATCTTCCATATCGTGTTCAATTTCTAGAACTGGCGTGGATACTTCTGGCGGCGGATGAATCGATGAGTTTCCGAAGACGATGGCTACTCCCTTCCCATAGGGGTATTTCACCACTTGATGTAGGGTGGAGGAGACTGCCTTTGCCTGATGCAGCCACGGCCGCCCTAGAAGTAGGTTGAAAGTTGCAGGAACCTCCAAGACAAAGAAATCTATCCCATGCTGTCCCGGCCCAACCTTTGTTTGAATCTTAACCGTTCCCATTACTTCCCGGCTTGTGTTGTCATACGCCCGAATCATTTGGGCCGTTGGCACAAAATCCGCGACTTTCAAACTGATCGCATAAGCTGTCCTTGCCGGGCAGACGTTGATGGCGGACCCCATGTCAACAAGCACCACGGGTATCCATTTATCTCTGCACTCCACAGAGATGTAGAGTGGCTTGTTATGGTTCGCACCCTCGGGTGGCAGTTCTTTGTCAGAAAAACTCAATGTCGGGGAACTTCCTCCCGAAAAGACTAAGCCCACCAGCTGTTCGGGCGTGGTGTCTATAGAAAGCTTGGCTTTGTCCATGGCTGAAAGGACAGCCTGTCTATGTTCTCGAGAAGCCATAAGCAGTCCCCAGATGGAGATGTCTGCTTGTATCTTTTTCAATTGTCTCAATACGGCCTCGTCTTCGAGTTGCTTTTCCTTTTGCTTTTCTACCTCTTTATCTTTTCCAGACGCCTCCGGTTGATCTAGGTGCGGAGGCTTGAAGTACCGTCCACTCCTAGTCATGTGATCGACTTCGCCGATATACCAGGTATCATCTGGTTGGTTACCCTCCCAATCCTCGTCCATGTGGGCAAGACATAGATCATCGTCTTCCCACCACATGCCATCTGCAGCTGACAGGCACCTGTCCGGTTCTGGCATAACTGTCCCGATACTTGCAGTACCTTTTATCCCTATGCTCGCAGTATTCTCCATTTCTGTACTTGTGGCAGTTTCAACCCCCACGTGGCCCTTTGCCTTCCTGATCCTCTCAGAATCTTCGAATCTTTCCTGTTCTGACTGTGTCAATGCAGTAGATTGCTCAATGATCCCTGTACTCAAAATGCTCCATTCCCGAGCGAAACTCTCGACACCGGCGCTCTCCGGCGATGTATTCTGCTTTTCAACCATCCCGGCTGTTATTGACATTTCTTCCCCTGTCGGGCCTTGTTCTGACTGAAACCCTCATACCACATCTGGCTGATCGTCCAACCATCCCGTGGCCTCCGCCGATTCTTCATAATCGAACCAGTTGATGGCTGACTCTTCTGGATCTTGGTTATCGTAAAACTGGAACTTGGCAAGATCCTCTTCCACAGCTGTCAAATCATCCGTTCCCTATCTTGGACTGTCCCCTTGGATTGCACACAGCTCTCCCCCGGCTGGAAATTTGACATCTGGTCTATTCTGGCCTACTGGTGAAATGTAGTCACTCGGACTGTAAGCGTTCCCAACATCACTCCCAGATTCCGCAGTCTCTGGCTTGACAACCCCCTTTTCCTTCGGAGTCTTCTCCCTCCTGCTCTCGATGGTCACCACCACTGGCTTGGGTTGGGTTATGGAGACGTCCATCATGCACAAATCGGTGCAATCAGGAAGGGAAACCTCCGGCTTAGGCAGGTAGGAGGGTGTGATATAGATACTAGGATCGTAGGATGCGACCCCAGTGTGGATGAAATTGATTCTTTTGGGTGGTGGAGCTTGGTTATGTGTGGGGAGAGGATTTGTAGTAACATTGGGTTTCTCAGGAGGTAAAATCACCCCATTATCAATGAGGTCTTGGATCTCATGACGCAATCGAAAACACAGGTCGGTATCGTGACCGTGCTGCTGATGGAATGCACAATACTTGGCTGGATTGTGGGCAGCGGGGAGTCTTTCTGGTAGAGGCCGCGGCTCTAGGGGCTTCAGATGCCCTTTTCTGATCAAAACCCCCAAAGCTTTGGACAGGGGCATATAAAAACTGCTGTATCTTCGTCTTCTAGTAGGAGATTGTTATTCTTGAACCACCAGCTCCTTACCTGTTATATTGGCCTCAACTGACTTTTTTCCCCCTTTAAAACATTAACACCATCGCCATTCAACTAAACCCCCCACTTGTTCACCTTTCTCAGCATCCTATCTCATTAATTGTCTTCAACTTGGTACAATTTTTGTATCTGTCTTGATTGATTCTGAGCTGGGTGGGTGAGATATAGCCACCCTAATGCTTCTTGGCAGATGGCTAGTCAAGAGTGTTGGGCAAAATATTACCTCTCTATAGCAGAGGCTAGTGTGTTCAATAGATCTAATGAACATATTTTATAGAAGCCATTTTTGGTTTATTCTTCCCCTTCTTTTTCTGCACCTGTCAGGGAGGGTATATTCATTTTTTGCCCAGGATTTGCGTAAGGAAAGAAATATCTAGTCTTGTATTTAGGAGTGTAGGTGGATACTTTGTTATCTGGCTGTAATTCTCTGTGTAAGCTGTAATAATATCTTATATATTTCGAGAAAACAGAAATTGAGTTGTAGATAGATCTCAATCAAATGAGGTAGAAAGAAGTTTGTTCATCATAATCTCTCCTTTCTTTTCAATGTTGTCAAACTCATAAATTTTTACTCTTATGTTAAACTCATGGATATGAATAAACCATGTTATGGCCAGGATGCTTGTGCAGAAATCATTTTCCAGCAAGGAGGAGGAAAAGTCCTCCTTGGATGTGATTATTTACCGTCATTTGTTGCTTGTGATGCGTTTTTGGATCACCAAATAAATAACCATTACATGAACAATTCTTGTTGATATTACACAACCACTGATGAACAGTTTGTGATATTGCATGGATTAACTTCTGTATTCTGCTTTATCTGTAGAAAAGAAACAATACCATAGAGGAATCTATTCTTTGAAATGTGCTATTATCCAAAAAAAATTATTGTGTAGAAAATTTCAGATCTGGCTAGTTTTCTTCTTGGTTCATCATTCAGGATTTTAAACACTGTACTCCAAGGCAAAGTATGAGTGAGATTTTATTCTGGTGGAACCCCACCTGAACACCCTGGACCTGGCTTGGTTTGGTTAAAATGTATGATTTAACATCTATTCAGTCCCTTGGTAAGTTCCCAAATTGGGAACCTATTCATTGGTTTTGCTTTGGGCTTTTATGTTTCTAGACAGCACAACTATGATTGCCTGTTCTTCTATATTGTGTTTTTTCTAATTATTATTATGTAGACTTCTGATTACCAGTTAGAATTGCTAATTGTGAAGACTTTGGTGAAATTTGTTGATGGCATAGGAAATGATACTGTCGTCATCTTACAAATTGGATATTCACATATACCCTCATAGCTTTGTTGTCATCATTGACGTCATAATTTTAATCGGTCCCATTGAATTGTTGTCTAGATAGGCATTATTTAGTAGTTCCTGTGGAGCACATTCCAACTGTCAAGGACCTTCAGAGAAGAACCGAAGACTTTTCTTTGGGTAAGAAAATTTAATAATAGCAACAAACTGAACTCTGAATCAGTTTGGGGTTTCATTTTTCTTACTGTGTCTTATCTTTGAAATTTCCTTCTTGGCCAGTGAGTCACATGTTAAATGTAGGGCAGAATCTGTTGCACAGAGATGCACCCCAGTCCAAGCACAGGTATTGTTTCTGTGTGGAAGCATTTTCACATTTCACATGCCGTTGAATATCAACTTTTCCATATACCAAATTGAATGAATAAGTGAAGGTTTTTATTTGCTTAAATCACTTAAGTATTTCGGCATCGAAGATCTGTAATCTAAGAAAGACAGACATGGACATACAATACGATATAGACACGCCGGCACAACAATTTTTCCAAAAATGTAGGACATGACACGTGGGGGAGGGAGATACACACAAAATATATAATTTTATATATTTATTATATGTCATATATCATTCAAAGATAATAAAAAATGCAATGCAATACTAACTTTTGTAAATCTACATTATTTTTCTTTTATATTTGCACCCTAGGTTATTTTGTTTAAATTTATAATTAGTTTCTTATATGTTTAAGTGATGGACACATGTGTCCGCCAATTGTCCAGATCTAAAATTAAAAAATAATAGGACATGTTTGGACGAGTGTCTGACATGTATTGAGAAGTGTCCGATGAGTGTTTGTGTCCGAAACAGATACGCTACTTTCTTAGAAGTGTCTGTGCTTCATAGTCTATTGCATATTCAATATATAATAAAGTTTTAATTGCTGCTCCTCTTGACTTTAGCTCAAATCGATGTTTGTTTTGTACCTACTCTTGTTATGGTGTGTGCTATTTGATAACATTGATTGGTTCATTCACACATAAAGAAGGGAAATAGACACTGTTAACCCTCCTAAAACTCATAGTTGATTATAAAGGACAGAGCCTGTTTTTTGTTGTTCTAATTCCTATTTGTTATCTATGGTTCTTATGAAAGATCATTTTATCTTGGTTGCTATAATATAATAGGTAAAACCCATATTACAGATCCAAAATTAACTATATTATCTATTTTTTTCTTCTTTTATGAATTTTACTAAGCAAAGTTTGATTCTTACGGGTTTCTTCTAGATTTGGATTTCATCAACCTCCTTTGAACAGTGTTAACCATCTCCATCTCCACTGTTTTGCACTTCCCTATACACCAAGGTGAGCAGTTTGGTACGTGATTGTTGCCATACGCCTGAATTCTCTTCTACTATCGATTGTTCGAATTGCTGAAATTTTTTCCGTGCAAGTTATATGTAAATACCTGTTTTAATTATCTCGAGTTTAAACAGATGGAAACATATAAAATACATGTCTTTGGGATGTCTGGGTGGATTTATTGAAGCCGAGAAGTTGTTGGAAAGGATAAAGCCATTTTCTTCTATTCCATCAAAAGTGTGACTTTATTCACCGTTCATCTGTGTATTGGATTGTATTTAATCTCATTTCACAACTGTAGGTTATGTTATAATCACTTAAGTCAATATATGCGAATGCTTTTTCCCTTTTAATAAACTTAATAGAGATTGTGATACGCCTTTGCTTATCTTATAATGAATTTCTCTTTGTTTTGCAAGTGAATTATTCATGGGATGAAGCCCTTCTCTGTTAATACTATTATATTTGAAGATGCTTTATATTTTCTGCAGTCCTTGTTCATATTCCTGGTTTTGATCAAATTACTCCACAATAATAGTAGTGCTGGTGTCTGATATTTTCTCCTTGGAGGAAACGCTGATCTTGTTCAACAGCTGGGTATTTTTGAAAACTGAATATATTGAAGTGCAACTACTCGCTTTTTGGAGTTGTCCGGTGTTTGATCTTCTGTTTTTTTGATTCTCTCTTGTTTGGTAGATTTCCTCGGAAAAAATGAAGGGTGCATTTCTGGCTGGTTTAAGCAAAGATTGTTTCTTTGATTGGATTGTTAGTTGATTTCATGTTTCTTAGTTCTTGGTGGTCTTCAGTCTCAACTAGAGATCAAAATCCACTCTATTGTCATTATTCATCTATAATTTGTGAATGTTTCATGCTGAGGAATTTGATTTTTCTGATATGGTCACTTTATCCCCCTCTCTCTCTCTCTCTCATATTGAATACTTTTTGGCTTTTGAAAATTCAGAACTACGTAAGCATAGGTTCTCCACATTCAGTTGATGCATATTACATATGAAGCACGGATGCTTCTAGAAGAAAATTGTGACCGTATCATAACTATTTCGAATACAAATACTTTTCAAATATGTATTTGATACTTCCTCAATGTATATTAAAATTGTAATAATTTTTTGCAGTGTATTATTAGAGTATAGTTGCTAATATAAATACAAAAATAGTTTTTTCTATGCTTCTTAGAGAAGATGAAAATAGAGAGATCAAAGTATTACTCTATTTTTTCTGAATTTATTGAATTAACGTATCCTTAAGTTCAAATCTAAAAAAAATAGAAAAAAGAAAAAAAGTATTCACATACAATACGATATAGACACGCCGGCACAACAATTTTTCCAAAAATGTAGGACATGACACGTGGGGGAGGGGGATACATACAAAATATATAATTTTATATATTTATTATATGTCATATATCATTCAAAGATAATAAAAATGCAATGTAATACTAACTTTTGTAAATCTACATTATTTTTCTTTTATATTTGCACCCTAGGTTATTTTGTTTAAATTTATAATTAGTTTCTTGTATGTTTAAGTGATGGACACATGTGTTCCCTAATTGTCGAGGTCTAAAATTAAAAAATAACAGGACATGTTTGGACAAGTGTCTGACATGTATTGAGAAGTGTCCAATGAGTGTTTGTGTCCGAAACAGATACGCTACTTTTTGAGAAGTGTCTGTGCTTCATAGTCGGTAATAGTATTGCATATTCAATATATAATAGAGTTTTAATTGCTGCTCCTCTTGACTTTAGCTCAAATCGATGTTTGTTTTGTACCTACTCTTGTTATGGTGTGTGCTATTTGATAACATTGATTGGTTCATCCACACATAAAGAAGGGAAAAAGACACTGTTTACCCTCCTAAAACTCATAGTTGATTATAAAGGACAGAGCCTGTTTTTTGTTGTTCTAATTCCTATTTGTTATCTATGGTTCTTATGAAAGATCATTTTATCTTGGTTGCTATAATATAATAGGTAAAACCCATATTACAGATTCAAAATTAACTATATTTTCTATTTTTTTCTTCTTTTATGAGTTTTACTAAGCAAAGTTTGATTCTTATGGGTTTCTTCTAGATTTGGATTTCATCAACCTCCTTTGAACAGTGTTAACCATCTCCATCTCCACTGTTTTGCACTTCCCTATACACCAAGGTGAGCAGTTTGGTACGTGATTGTTGCCATATGCCTGAATTCTCTTCTACTATCGATTGTTCGAATTGCTGAAATTTTTTCCATGCAAGTTATATGTAAATACCTGTCTTAATTATCTCGAGTTTAAACAGATGGAAACATATAAAATACATGTCTTTGGGATGTCTGGGTGGATTTATTGAAGCCGAGAAGTTGTTGGAAAGGATAAAGCCATTTTCTTCTATTCCATCAAAAGTGTGACTTTATTCACCGTTCATCTGTGTATTGGATTGTATTTAATCTCATTTCACAACTGTAGGTTATGTTATAATCACTTAAGTCAATATATGCGAATGCTTTTTCCCTTTTAATAAACTTAATAGAGATTGTGATACGCCTTTGCTTATCTTATAATGAATTTCTCTTTGTTTTGCAAGTGAATTATTCATGGGATGAAGCCCTTCTCTGTTAATACTATTATATTTGAAGATGCTTTACATTTTCTGCAGTCCTTGTTCATATTCCTGGTTTTGATAAAATTACTCCAAAATAATAGTGGTGCTGGTGTATGATATTTTCTCCTTGGAGGAAACGCTGATCTTGTTCAACAACTGGGTATTTTTGAAAACTGAATATATTGAAGTGCAACTACTTGGCTTTTGGAGTTATCCGGTGTTTGATCTTCTGTTTTTTTGGTTTTCTCTTGTTTGGTAGATTTCCTCGGAAAAAATGAAGGGTGCATTT